TATTGTTTTTAAATATTGGTTTAAAGTGGATTTTGATATGTAAAAGTTGTGCGATTTTTGTATTAAATATTTTCGCATGCGAACTATGGTAGAAAACGTTAAACAAGTGCTCCAATGGCGATGTAATCTTCAAGAATCTTTGTCTGTTTAGACGCCTTGAGATACTACCGTCAACGACTGCCTGCTGACTAAAGCTACCATAAGAATCTCCTAGAAACTTCGCAATGTGTTTTAAACAAATAATTTAAAAAAATATTTTCTTATTAATTGACACAGGCAAAAGTAGGTACAATAGTACGAGTCCCTTATTACCAATGAAAGAAATAACTATATAAGTCTCAATACAAGACGTAGATCATTGATAGTTTAACGAAAAGTCAATTTTAATTATCATTAAACAAGTATGCCGGCCGCGGCGTCACAATCTTCGCGAAATTTTACATTAGAAGTTAAATTTCATACTTTATATTTTGGTTTGCGAATTTTCTTCGAGACTTATTCATTACGAGCGGATAAAATAAAATGGAAAGATTTTTTTGTAGGAGTATTGAAAAAGAAACAGAATCTTTTTATTCAATATAGATTAAAAACAATACCAATTGAAAGTCACTCTTATGTTTAATTTACCACTGGTTCGGAAAATGCCTTTTCCCTGGGACATAGAACCAGCAAGATACTTTTTTTTTAAATGAACATTTTGCAATAATTTAAGTTACGCATTAATTAACAACACAAAACAAATTAGGAAAAGGTTGGTAGCGGTTTGAACGATATTTGGTTTAAAAAATTTCAAAACTTGGCGGAAGTCAGATTTTGTATATTTGTGGTGGTGGACTATAAGTTCCAAACTTACGTGATTTTGGGTACTGTGTTTGCGCACATTATAAAGTGTAAAATCAGTTTCATTTTCATCATAATCAACATCACAACTCCTAACAGCAAATCTACTGCTGTACAAGTGCTTGTCCCTAAAGATTTACCTACAAAAACATTCCTGAACCACCCGTATTATCTTTATTGACGGACATTGACGGCTTATTGGCGCCATGGTTTAGTAATTACTTGCAGCGCTCAGACATAGTAAAAACAGAATAGTAGGCTATCTTCTAAGAAATGTACCGAACACCGCTAATATGAGTGCGTGCCTGGCACGTGATAGTCCTACTTTTACGGACAATCGACAGCATGCACACAACGACTCTTGCTAAGTCGGAAAGGTCTATCCACGTCAGTAACGGCCACCTCCGAGCTCCGCAATCACCTTTGTTTGAGATTTTGTTGACTTAATGAAATTTGTTTTTTCGTTTTATTTTTTCCTTTTGTAAAATAAATTAATATGTTGGTTAGTTTAGGTAAATTAACTTGTATTCATAGGTTATGTTTTTTTTTATAGAAGAAGGGGCAAACGAGCATGTGGCTCACCTGATGTTAAGTGACTACCGCCGCCCATGATCAACCGTAACACCAGGAGAATTGCCGGCCCTTTAGAAAGGAGTAAGCTCTTTTCTTGAAGGTCCCCAGGTCGTACCGGTCCGGAAAAATCGCCGGTGGTAAACTATTCCACAGAGAGGTCGTACGCGGAAAAAAACTCCTTGTGAAACGTACAGTGGTGGACCGCCAAGCATCCCGATGGTGTGGATGGTATCGGGACGTTTGACGTGTAGTGCGTTCACAAAATTTGGCGGCTGGGATTAATCCGAACAATTCCTCAGAGCACTCCCCGTGATAGATGCGATAAAATACGCAAAGAGAATGCAACATCTCTTCGCAGCGCCAATGAATCGAGCCGATCGGAAAGCACTCGGTCGTCGACGATTCGAGCCGCTCTGCGCTGGATGCGGTCAAGTGGAAGGAGCTGCTACTGGGGAGCCCCAGCCCAGAGATGGGAACAGTATTCCATGTGCGACCGAACCTGCGCCTTGTATAGTTGCAGGCGGTGTGCCGGCATGAAACACTGTCCCGCTCTGCTGAGCACGCCAAGTTTTTTAGAGGCCAATTTGGCCTTCCCTTCCAAGTGACCACGAAACTGCACGTCACTCAATATGTCGACGCCGAGGATTCCGATACTGGCTGCGGCAACAAGGGGAGTGCCTTGAAACTGAGGGGATACGACAAAGGGGTTCTTTTTAGCGGTTAACGCGCAAACTTGTGTCTTTTGGGGGTTAAACTGGACTAGATTTAGTCGCCCCCAATCCGAGACTCTGTCCAGCAGAGACTCGACTTCAGACACAAGTTTGTATCATATCATATTACTATATCTAATTACATATGCATACATACCTCATAGTTACATTAATTATCATATCACATCACATTAAATCAACTACTTCCGATGTGTGGAGCATAAGTGTGGTGATCTTGTTCTTCAAGAAAGGTGACAATGCCGTCTTGAAGAACTACAGACCGATATCCCTTCTGAGCCGCGTCTATATGCTGTTTTCGAGAGTCATTACGAATCGTCTCGCACGCAGATTCGACGACTTCCAGCCTCCCGAACAAGCCGGTTTCCGAAAAGGCTTTAGTACCATAGGCCACATACATACCCTTCGGCAAATTGTACAGAAATTCCAAGAGTACAATCTGCTACTTTGCCTGGCGTATGTAGACTATGAGAAAGCATTTGATTCCGTCGAAATTTGGGCGGTGCTACAATTACTTCAACGGTGCCAAGTTGACTGTCGGTATATCGAACTGCTGGGGCTGCGATGGCTATCCGAGTACAGAACCAGAGTACAAAACGTATCCAACTGCAGAGAAGTGTAAGACAGAGTGAGGTTATATCCCCGAAACTCTTCACCGCTGCATTGGAAGACGTTTTCAAGCTACTGGACTGGAAAGGATACGGTATTAATATCAATGGTGAGTACATCACTTACCTTCGATATAGCTCTTATGACAGAATTGCTGGGGCCAACACTATGCTCAATGACCTGAATGCCAATAGTGCCTCCCAACGGATAGGTCTTAATATGAACATGGACAAAACAAAGATCATGTTTATTGTCCATGTCACACCTATGCTCGTAGTAGTCGGGAGCACTAAGCTCGAAGTTGTTGATGAGTACGTTTGCCTGTGACAAATAGTTCGACTAGGTAAGTCCAACTTCGACCTAGAGGTCAATCAACGGATTCAACTCGGCTGGGCAGCGTTCGGGAAATTACGATACATCTTCTCGTCAGATATACCTCAAAACCTGAAAACTAAATTGTACGACCAGTGCATGTTGCCGGTGATGACCTATGGAACCGAGACGTGGTCCTTCACTGCTGGTCGTATGAGGACGCTCAAAGTCGCTCAGCGAGCTATTGGGGGTTTCTCTGCGTGATAAACTTAGAAATGATGATATCCCCAGTAGAACCAGAGTGACCTACAAAGCCCAACGGATTAGTAAGCTGAAATGGCAAAGGGCCGATCATATAGCTCAAAGTACCGACAACCGTTGCGGAAAAAAGGTTCTCGAGTGGCAGCCTAGTACCTGTAGGTGAAGTGTAGGGCGATCCCCCACTAGATGGAGTGACGACCTGGTAAGACATGCAGGAAGTCGATGGATGCAGTTGGATCAGGGCCGTGCTTTGTGGCATACTTTGGGGGAGGCCTATGTTTAGCAATGGACTTGTGAAGGGCTGTAATGATGATGATGATGATGATAATCACATCAAATTAATTTTTAACATTATATTTGAGCTGACACCATACGCTCAGTGTAAATTTACTCGTATTTCAGTTATTTGGTATTTGTTTTAATGTAAAGTTGGATTTTTTTATTTGAAAGGAAATTAAGAAATGATTAACAAATATAATGCAACAGGTACGTATATGTATATACATGTTTGTAAATATTAATACATAACTATTTATAAAACTAAATGGTACTTGGGCCATTTTCAAATTTTGTGCAGGCTTTTCTTACTTTAAAGCCAAAAAAGATTTTTTCTTAAAACTATTGCTATATAATTTTTTCATTTATATTTAACTATTAAATACATTACATTTTAATGTACTGTTGTTGGTCACGATGTTTTTTAGGAATTTTGAGGGTTTTTTCAGACTTTATATTTGAAGGCGAAATTAAATACTACTCTGTTACCAATGTAAATTTTCTTTTATTTTTATAACGAACACATGAATCACAAATTGTTTGGCGTTATTGTTAATTATAGTCTAAAATCTTTTTAAAACATGCACAATCATGTTTCAAACTATTATTAATATTTATTTAAATAAATTTTTAAACAACTCTGTAACTTTTGATACATTAACAAACCGTATTTTTTTCTAAAGTCTCTGAAAATTATACTTGTAACATCTTATAATACTATTTTGAAAACTACGAATATTAACTGCCTCATAGCCCATTTAAAATATTTTAAGGTCTAGTTTACCTAAAAAAATATATTTTAGACCTTATAATCTTTGGGACAGAAAAGTAACATAGTTGTAAATAATTTACATAGTTGTTTTCGTACTACGCCTAGCGTAATAACTTAAGCTTATCATTTAAAATTCTTACAGAGACCACGCTAATGATATTCTCATAACTAAGCAGTTCTAAAAACTAAGAGTAAAATATATATGAGATCGTATTTATCACAATGAGACCAACACTACTTCTCAAATATTTCTAATGGAGAGTCAAACTGGTAGTATACTCTTTTGCCTTTGTATACTTTTTTGGGTCTGGGACGATTGCAATTTAATTTTAAAAAGGCTCATAAGACACATCAGTCGCAATCAGCCTAATTTCTTTTGCAGTATCGTCCATAGATCTGAAAAACATAATTTTTACCTCGCCATCATCTTCTACTTCACTCAGCGCTTTTCCCAAATAAATGTTGTGTGCAAATAAACACCATGTTTTATTTTAATAATATGAATATTTTCCTTCTCTATCAAAGCATCGTTATCAATTCCTTTTGATGTACAGGGTTGTCCAAGTGAAAATTTATCCTTCACTGTTAATAAAGGGATATCATCATGAGTGTCAGAACCGTAGACAGTGTTATAGAATGGGTTTCTTTTGATGGACTAAGTTGCCTATTTCTTTCATAAAATCTGGTTCACATTCATCAGAGCTTGATTTTTCATCCACGGGTTTTAGTGGACGGTATTCTTTGAGATCCATGCAAGAACAAAAGCCGCGCCTGCAGAAACAGCTCAAGTCTCTATATTTGAAAACTCCTTTCTCTTCAGTGAACACCTGGTGAACTTTCATGGTGCCAGGTAACGGTAAAACATTGTCTGGAATCTTCATGGACCATATATTAATGTCTTCATCAGTAATAAAATGAATTTTTATTCTACTAATATCCTTTAAAGCAGAATAGAACTTTGAGACATCAGCAATATCCTGTCCATGTGCGACAAGTTGATCAGCAGTGCGCTTCAAGCACAAAAGCCACCAACTCCGTCTGCTGCACCCTTGCCGTGCCCTGCCTCGAAAAAATTCCTGTAACTCTATAGAAGTTAATATTCAGAGAAAAATTTATTGCAAATCAGATAAAAATTTTGTTTTTGCCGGTACTGCAGATAAAAATTTGAGGCAGGTTCCTGCATCTGAGAACACATGTATGATTTTACTTCTGTATAATTTTCTTGAATATAAGATAAGATGGAATGAGGGTGAGCCCAGATTGCAGCTGGATTGTGAGTTACATTACCTGAAACGGTATAAAAGGATGTCACCTCCATTTTATTATCTGAACCTCGCAGGTACATGACTCCAGTGTGTAAAGATACTTGATTTCGTGAACCTCCAAAATGATGGACCTGTATTTCTTCGAAATATTTACAGATATAATTCTCACTGAAGCCAACATGTAATGCTACTTCATTTTCGAACAATACGTCTATACAAGCCCTGTAGTTTCTGTATTGTGACTTTATGTAATAAACGTGCCTCTTGAACTCTTGGAGTTGAAATTTAAATACATCTATTAAAGATTTTACAGTACTCTGCTTTCCTTCTTTTGTGTTTTTAGTAACTTTGCATTTTTTTTCCCAGCTTCTCTGCAATTTCATTTTTCCTTTCCCACTGAATATACTTCACTATTTAAGTCATCCTTTGTACTATCATATTCAATTTTCTTCAAATAACATTCAGAGCACAGTCCTGTCATGCAAGCTAGTACATTTTCATCGCATGTTTGTTCTTTTGTAATTTTATTTAAATCTGATTTCGGAATTACTTTATTTTTACACAAAGCAATAGCCAAGTACTGAACGTTTGTGTGCAATCGACATAAACATGTTTATCTTCCGGCAACAGTAGGAAGCATTACATAAGACGGTCTGCATCGAGTAAAAGTAGTGTAGGAACATTTCATGTCAGGATTTTCTCGTTTAAACGAAGCAAAGAGGTTCTTCATGCTGTCCAGTAGGTAACATTTTTTCATTTTATTTTTCTTATGGGTAACGGTTTCTTTTTTTGCCACAGTTGCTCTCGATACATCATCGCGATTAAAAAAATCTTTGATTTTGTCACTTACAACTTTTTTCCTCAGCTTTGGTTGTTTCTTTCTTATGTAATCTTGATCCACATTCAAGCACTCTTTTAGTATTTGCATTTTCTTTCTAGAACATTTAACTTCCTTCTCCTCAAATATTTTTTATATAGCTATCTTTTCTTTCCGACTTTTAACTTTTTCATAACGTTTTTTAATAGCTTTCGCCAATATGTCATACTTATCTTGACTTTTACAATCATCGCTTTCATTTTTCGACCCTTTTTGTTTTCCTCTATTATATCTCTTCTTGTATTTTTCATATTTTTTATTTATTTCTTCAATTTTTTCTTTTAATCTTTGATTTTCTCTAAAAAGTTTTGTTCTGTTTCTTTTTACTTGTTTTCGGCCCCGTTTTGCTGCAGATGTCATTGAAACAGGGCTATTTTCATGGGGAGTCAATTGTTGAGGGGTTGATAAACGGCGATTCGACGGTAGAACTCGTGGCAGAACTTAGTTTGGACCCAGCGGAGTTGGAGTACGTGAACGTAGAGTCATAATTCACAGTGAAGACTCTGGAGTATGCATTACTACACGAGGAGCCTTGGCCCGGTCCCTCCGTCTGGCATTTGCAGCTCGACATTTTTTTATTGCTCGGTGTTCCCGTGACGTTAAATTTTTCACTAAACGTTTCTTTGCATGCTATCTTTTGAGGTCTTTTCTTTTATTTGCAGCTTCTTTTTCAGGGTCCTTTTTGCGTCGTCCTCAATAACGTCGCTGCTTTTCAGCAGGCGTTAAAGCCATATAGAAAAATGATCAGCAGTACAAGTAAAAGTCCTGAAACCAATAATTTTTTACTATAAAACTTGTGAGATAAGATTTAACAATGAAAAATAACCACTCTGTTACTTAGCTTACAACTCTGTTACTTCCAACTAGTAACAGAGTTGTTCAGTAACAGAGTGGTAAATTTTAGATTCCATACAGAATTAGTCATAATATAAGGCATAAAGGGAAATAATATAAGGCATAACGAAAAAGTCTTAAATATTGGTACATATTTAAGATATGCTCACCTAAAACTCATGGATAATGTAAAATATAACAGTAAATATTGATTACTTACGCGAAAATATTGGTAACAGTGTGGTTGTTGAATAAAGACACGCTCCTCCTTCCACAGCTCGCGGTCGACTGACTCGTGTCAGTCGTTCCCCCCGCCCCCGTCAAATTTCTCGAACAATTTTAGACACTGCACCGAGGTTAGTGCAGATGCCATAGTAGCGCTTCTGTATTTTAAAGTGAACTATTACTACAGGGATTTAAAAAAAGTAAAAGAAAACAATTTAGAACAAAATTTTGTTTTAGAGCATGTAATAATTTTAAATTATTTTAAATTAAATTTCTATATTTATTAATCATAATTTTTTTATATATCAATGTGGGAAAAAGCAAGTTTTTCTACGTTTTTTTGCACTGTATTAATGTCTGGGACATAGTGAATTTGTATGGAAGACACCTCTGTTATCAAAAATAACCACTATGTTACTTTTAAAAAAATGTGGAAAAATTAACATAAATGTTTATTTTATATAAAGTATGTTCAATTAATTTTTTTTTTAAATTAAAATTTGTTTCAGAAATTTATTAGGGACCCCTGTTGAAGAATACTATATCAATAAATTAAAGTCAGCTTAATAGGGTGCCGGCCTGAGGTGGTAGCACAGTGGGCTTGGAGGATGGAAATCGGATCCTTAGATCAGATCAAGAGAGATCAAGATTAACCCTTCAATCCCCATAAAAATCCCATGCAGTCGCATGCGCCCGTCTAATCCCGAGCGATTGCATGCGACCGCACCCACACACAGCACTTTAAACCATTAAAACTTATATTTAGAGACCACTTTTTTATGAAAAAGTTTGGCATTATAAAATCTATACAAAATCTCTTTCTGTGGTCTTTCATTTTAATGTAATTATGACCCATATTTAACTTTCGTTTATACAAAACAAAACATCATGAGGTGATAGGTATTGCAAGTCAAATGTTGTAATAGATTGCGGTTATATTATAAATAAACATACATTTGTATTATCAAAATACACTCTGACCTGGTGTTGTGATAATGTTTAACAAATTTGATAATAGGTACTTAAATTAATGTTTTAACATTCCTCAACTAGGCAGTACAAAAATATGGATTGCAAGTAAAAATTTTTGCCACCATCAATGTATTTATCGTTAGTAGATAAGTATTTTCTGCTCTTACGAATTCGTGTTCTATGATGTCTTTTCAATTTAATTCGAAATAACACACAGCATATTAGCTAATTCGCTTAACTATTGACGTCACGACGGATTCTAATATGTCGCATAGCGTGTTGGATATTATAGGTATTCACAGATAAAAAATATTCTTAAAATTGCTTTATAAACGTTTTAGTGCTTTTTTATGGATATAAATCAATATTTCTCGTTAACTTTTTACAAATTATATGATAAATATATATTTTTTGATTTTTTTAAAATGTTCTAATATACCCCATTGTTCCGGGTCTGGATGCTTGTCCTCGTGAAATTTAAGTATGTAAACTTAATCCACGACAGAGTAGAACACTCTATTGTAGGGTAACGTTTTTTTTTAAATAAGATATAAATAAATAGATATGTTTCAATAACAATTTTAGGGTAATATATAAGTAGTAAATTGATTTCTATTGGGATACGAATAAGATATGCGGTGTTTGTTAGAAGTGGTTCAATTCTATTTACGGCCTCTTGGAGACTGTACCGGCTGTCTCGGCGGATTTCTATTATAGTGAGCAATTACCGGCAAATTGCTTGTTAGCTCGGCGCGTTGTCCCGTGTTTAAGCCGTAAAAGGTTATTGCTATGGTATTGCATGTCTTCTAACAAATTATTCGGTAGTTCAAGAAATGAATCATGAAAGGTCTTTGAGTTCAGGACATTAACCCCAAATTATTGACTTTGAGTCTAAGTTTTGTGTGTAAAAGAAAAAGAAGTTAATAATTAAAATTTGTGTTTGAGTACGTCAAAAATCACAATGGTGCTGGGTTTTATATTGTGAGTGTAGAGAATTGGAGATCCTTTTTAGGTTTGTCTATGGGCTGCAGCAACTACTAACTACTACCATCATATGGATTGTGTACTTTTGTCATTATTTTCATAAATAGTAATGAGCTTGATGCAGACTTGACTAAGTCTATCTACACTTCAGTTAATCTTTTCATCTCGTAACAATAATATGAAAGTTTCGTCCAAAACTAAAGTCATTTGACATTTTCGGAGAAAGGAGTACTCCTGTCACCAGCGGCGAAGACAAGTAGCAGATACTGTCCATTTTATAATTCTACCCCACGTGGAACCCAAGGGCTGATATTGTCAACAGCAAACGGCTCAAATAATATGTAGTTATCCCTCAGAAACTTATAAATTATATTTAGTTGTAACTTTTTACTGTACGTGCATTTTAATGCGGGACAAATAAAAAGAGATGTCACTGCCAGCCTTCGTAATAATGTAGAATAGATTACACACTTATTAAAAGAAATATTCATTCATTAAGATTAATTTTCGTCAGAACTTTATCTCTTAATAATTAAAATAGAAATGTTACTCAAACAATTTTACAAACACAAACACACGAACATACACACACACACACACACACACACGGCGCGCGCGCACACACGCCACACACGCACACACGCACACACACACACACCACACACGCACACACACACACACACACACACACACTCACCACACGAACACGCACACTTAAGTAATT